TGACACTCACCAAGACCTTAACTAGCTACATCAGGTATGTTAGGTTAGGGTTGGAGCAAAAACCTACAGGAGGGCAACGCTCCAGGAACAGGGTTGGGCAGCCCTGATCTAAGACGGCCGTTTTATAACCTCTAAACGCATCCACTCACACTGTTCAGGATCGCTCTGTACGAGCTGCATCGAAGAAATATAACACACTCTATCAGCGAGATCAGAGACAGAGGGATGAAGAGGTGAGAGCATCAGTGCTATTAGAGATCGAGCTCTAGGATCCGAGACAGCAGATGCGCAGGCCAGGACGAGGGACAAAGCAGGAGTCTATCCTGAGAAGAGCTAGAGTAGATTCACCGACTAGAGCTCGAGACTAAGAGAGTCAGTCTCTCTTCTCTCTCTCTCTCTCTCTCTCCTCTCTCTCTCTCTCTCTCTCTCTATCTCTCTCTCTCTCTCTCTCTCTCTCTCTCTCTCTCTCTCTCTCTCTCTCTCTCTCTCTCTGCCTCTTTCTTCTCTTCACGTTGGCAACATAATATTAATAACAAGGCCACATGCTGTACTCCCTATTGAAACCGGTGCATCTCACCTCGTACCAACATCGAATGTGGTCCTTCAGAATATGGAAAAACATATATTTGTGAATTAACTATTTACATTATTACCTCATCATGCATTTATAATAATCATAATAATAGCCTAGTAATAACAATAATAAACCGATACAACTTGTTTTTATTTGTGTGTGTGAGTAAACAGACCTGGGGGTGGGGCTTTGAATAAAAAAGTAATGATTGGCATGTACCCAGAGGCCAATCGCTGATATTCTCATATGTTTCACAGAATAGTAAAACACAACAAATGTCCGCTGTCCGGAACGAAAACCTTCAAGGCTCCAATAGCTTTTCAACAGGTCGAACTGTGTCCCAAATGGCACCCTATCCCCTAGTGCACTACTTTTGATGGCTATGGTCAAAAGTAGTGCACTTGGAAGGGAATAGCGTGCCAATTGGGATGCTGATATTAACAGCTCTGATATTGGTGGACTGAGAACGTGAGTAGTCCTAGAGCTCTGATATTGGTGGACTGAGACCATGAGTAGTCCTAGAGCTCTGATATTGGTGGACTGAGACCATGAGTAGTCCTAGAGCTCTGATATTGGTGGACTGAGACCATGAGTAGTCCTAGAGCTCTGATATTGGTGGACTGAGAACATGAGTAGTCCTAGAGCTCCGATATTGGTGGACTGAGAACATGATTAGTCCTAGAGCTCTGATATTGGTGGACTGAGAACATGAGTAGTCCTAGAGCTCTGATATTGGTGGACTGAGACCATGAGTAGTCCTAGAGCTCTGATATTGGTGGACTGAGACCATGAGTAGTCCTAGAGCTCTGATATTGGTGGACTGAGAACATGAGTAGTCCTAGAGCTCTGATATTGGTGGACTGAGACCATGAGTAGTCCTAGAGCTCTGATATTGGTGGACTGAGACCATGAGTAGTCCTAGAGCTCTGATATTGGTGGACTGAGACCATGAGTAGTCCTAGAGCTCCGATATTGGTGGACTGAGAACATGAGTAGTCCTAGAGCTCTGATATTGATTGACTGAGAACATGAGTAGTCCTAGAGCTCTGATATTGGTGGACTGAGACCATGAGTAGTCCTAGAGCTCTGATATTGGTGGACTGAGACCATGAGTAGTCCTAGAGCTCTGATATTGGTGGACTGAGACCATGAGTAGTCCTAAAGCTCTGATATTGGTGGACTGAGACCATGAGTAGTCCTAAAGCTCTGATATTGGTGGACTGAGACCATGAGTAGTCCTAGAGCTCTGATATTGGTGGACTGAGACCATGAGTAGTCCTAGAGCTCTGATATTGGTGGACTGAGACCATGAGTAGTCCTAGAGCTCTGATATTGGTGGACTGAGAACATGAGTAGTCCTAGAGCTCTGCCACCCGTCCCGAGCCCGACGGGACCCAACATCACACATTGGGTTAGGGCCCGGGTGGGTTTTATTCATCAATAACTAGGGTGCTGGTACGGCTCAGGTATCACTAAATGATCATGAACATTTTGAAGCTGAGCCATTTGCGCATATCTGACTAAGATCATAACATGGTGTCAGAAGCGCTTCAACCTTGTCAAATATATAAAACAGGAGGGATTATTTGACAGAAAATAATAATGTTCCTTGAGTTTTGAACGGGAGTTTAGAGTGACTGAAAGTAGCTAACAGCTAACTGCTCTCTCATGTCTCGTCACTGAGCAGCCCCAAGTGGAGCCGTTGCTATGGATACTCACAGGCTCAGAGCGCCATGAGCAGAAGCGCATGCAGAGCGAGCTGAGCGCAGGGGAGCGAGTGACAGACAGAGAGGAGCAGCTAATGGGATTTACTAACGGAGGAAGTTATTTCTGATTTCGGGCTTCGGGCAGGGCCAGGCCTAAAATCGGGCCTGGGTAGGGCCTGAATGTCACGGGCATAGGTAGAGCTCTGGTTTAAAATTCATGCCCGTGTAGGGCTCTAAGTAGCCCTACGGAAACTGAAATACATTCAGACACAGTCGTAGAACATTCAAAGACTTACATTCATTGACAGGCAGTCAGAGAACAGCCAAATACTTAGATTCATCGACAATAACACTGATGGTATAGTCATTCACAGACACCCTGAATACATTCATAGGAACAACACAGTCAATGACATTGACAGACATTATTTTAGATTGAACTAGCTACAGGTGGTGGTCCGAGAGTGAAGAGGACAGAACCCATCCAGAGAGATTCAGTGCAGCGTCGGGCTCAGTTCAATTCTCAGTTCAGGGTTTGAATTTTGTACGTTTTCAATTTCAATTCAAACCTTGAATTGTTCAATGCTTGAATTTGTATTCTATGAGAATTCTTAATTTCATGAATCGACGGAACTGACCCCTTACCAACCTCAAGAGATACACATACAATCATCGTGTGGTCATTGAGACATTCCCAGAAATATGCACAAAGAGACATTCATTATACATGTATGTTCAGATAGTAGACATTCATAGATAGACATTCAGTGTCATGCAGTCTCAAATAGACATCAATCAAATGTTTAAACCACACCTGTGTATTCTACAACAATCATACATACAACTGTCTGTGGTCATATAGGCAACGTCCTGAATGGCGCCCTACTCCCTCAATAGTGCACTACTTTTGACCAGCTCCCCGTGGGTCCTAATTAGGTGCACTAAATAGGGGGCCATTTTGGACACAGACATATTCTCAATCCTCACAATGACCTAGATTCACAGTTAGGGGCCTTCCAGAAAGCAGGATTAAGTTAGCCAGCTAACTTTGACAAAACATTCAGACATATCTCTTAATTTTCGGGTAAATTTTCTGGTTTTCTGGTTAATTTTGAAAAGCTAAACTTGAATACGTGTCGTTGGTTGTCAGTCATTTTGCACCCATGCTAATTTCAACTCTATATAAAAAATAATAATAATGCAAAGTCATTTCAGAATATTTAGGACAGTTCAGGATAGCTGGCTAACTCATTGATCCTGTTTCCTGGAACAGCCCCCTGCCCTCAAGCCTTTATTTTTCTCCAATCTTCCCTCCTTCTCTCCCTTATATACAGTACGGCCTTCAGTTGTATGTCGTATTGAGGACGTAGCCTGGGTTACAAAATTCCAGTAACTTTCCCAAAAATTCCCAGATTTTCCAGAAATCCTGGTTGAAGGATTACGGATTCCCTGCTTATTCCCACCTGATTACCGGGATCCTTCCAACCAGGACTTCTGGAAAATCTGGGAATTTTCGGGAAAGTTTACGTATTTTTGCCGACCCTAGACGTAGCACAGTGAGTTGATATGCTCAATTGCTCATACTTCAAAGAACCGTGATTATAGCTAGCTAAGCTAACAAAACAATGTAACCAGATGGATTATTAGCTAGACTAGCATACCTGCTAATTTTATCCTGTAACATAAAAATGAATAGCCGTCCTAGGGCCGTTCCTATATGTATTGCACTACTTTAAATGTCCTCTACAAGTTTGAATGTAGCCTACTATGTTGTAGAAAGTAACTAATATTGTATAATCACTAGTATGCTGACCGTTTAGTCTAATAGCAATACAGATGCCACCCAACACATCTGAACCAGCCATTACTAGCCATTATAAAGCTCTCCGGTCATCTTTGGTTTCGGATTAGCCGGTCGTTGTTTAATGGACATTTGACTGAGAATCTTCTAGGGTGTGTCCCAAATGGCAGGCCATTACCTATATAGTGCACTACTTTTTAGCAGAGCCCTATGGGCCCTAGTCAAAATTAGTGCACTACAAAGGGAATAGAATGCCTCCCTAGGGTTTTTCAATGATTGTTTAAGTTGACGAAAAGCCCTCCAGGAGTTACGTTGAAGACCCCTGGGATGAGAAAAGTAGGTAATGTAGCATTTAGTAACAGCATGGGACTTACACCAGGGTTGAGTCCCAAATGACACCTTATTCCCTATATAGTGCACTACTTTTGACCAGAGTCTTATGGGTCCTGGTCTAAAGTAGTGCACTATAAAGGGAATAGGGCACCATTTGGAATGTGAACCCTGATCTATTCAAAGTAGGGTGGAGACTAAACTAACTGAAGTCTGTTTCAAACCAGGAATAGTTCAGTTGGAGGAGTTAATCAGGAATAGTTCTGTTGGAGAAGTTCATCAGGAATAGTTCTGTTGGAGGAATTAATCAGGAATAGTTCAGTTGGAGGAGTTAATCAAGAATAGTTCAGTTGGAGGAGTTAATCAAGAATAGTTCTGTTGGAGGAGTTAATCAGGAATAGTTCAGTTGGAGGAGTTAATCAGGAATAGTTCAATCAGGAATAGTTCTGTTGGAGGAGTTAATCAGGAATAGTTCAGTTGGAGGAGTTAATCAAGAATAGTTCAGTTGGAGGAGTTAATCAGGAATAGTTCAATCAGGAATAGTTCTGTTGGAGGAGTTCATCAGGAATAGTTCAGTTGGAGGAGTTCATCAGGAATAGTTCAGTTGGAGGAGTTCATCAGGAATAGTTCTGTTGGAGGAGTTCATCATGTCCTTTGATTGGTCGTAGAATGATCTGAAGGCAAGCATGGAAATCTGAAAAAATGGTTCAGAAAAAAGGAGAGGAGGAGAGGAGAGGAGGAGAGGGGAGAGGAGAGGAGAGGAGAGGAGAGGAGAGGAGGGGAGGGGAGGGGAGGGGAGGGGAGGAGGGAGAGGAGGGGAGAGGAGGGGAGAGGAGGGAGGGGAGGGGAGAGGAGAGGAGAGGAGAGGAGAGGAGAGGAGAGGAGAGGAGAGGAGAGGAGAGGAGAGGAGAGGAGAGGAGAGGAGAGGAGAGGAGAGGAGAGGGAGGAGAGGAGAGGAGAGGAGAGGAGAGGAGAGGAGAGGAGAGGAGAGCTCGAAAGAGCTCCTATATAAACTTCACCACCTTCCTCCTCTTCCTCCTCCCATGTTATCTAAATTGTCTGATGAAAAGTTCATTCGAAAAGTCCCCGAAACCTTCCAAGCACCACTGCTGCTCAGTGAAATCAACTTCCTCATCAGGTAGTGACATCACTTCCAGACGTGTGACCTCATCAAGTGGTTGGAGCTTTGAATCATTGGTCCTCCCATGTGCTGACCGCCGTATCCCATCATGCCGTTGGTGCCGTAGAAGTTCACCCCTGCCATGTGCTGGGTCATCTGGTGGGAAAAACACACGTGCACGCACACACACATGCACACACGCAAACACACACAGATTTTAATACTTTAATCAAATGTTATGCAAACATCCAGTTACACAAAAATATTGCCTCACAGAAACACACTCAAACACACACTCATTTCCTCACACACGGTCCTCACAAGTATAGGAATGCAAACACACACACATTCCAGGTGTTGTGTATCTCACCTCAGTGATGTTGCACTGTCGCTGCTGATCCTGCTGTACTCCGTACACCTGCTGAAGCACGGACGCCACTCCTCCCATCATGCCTTTCGGTTGATGTCCCATGATGCTTTGTTGCTGTGATCCCATGATGCCGTTATGTTGCACTCCCATCATGCCGTTCTGCTGAGCTCCCATCATGCCGTTCTGCTGAGCTCCCATCATGCCGTTCTGCTGAGCTCCCATCATGCCGTTCTGCTGAGCTCCCATCATGGTGTTCTGCTGAGCTCCCATCATGCCGTTCTGCTGAGCTCCCATCATGCCGTTCTGCTGTGCTCCCATCATGCCGTTCTGCTGAACTCCCATGAGGCCGTTCTGCTGAACTCCCATCATGACGTTCTGGTGAACCGTCATGCTGTGTGGCACTCCTGCCATGAACGGGGATGTGTTGACTGCTTGCCCCATGACACCCTGTTGAGCCATAAAGCCGTTCTGCTGTGCTGCCACCATTCCGTTCTGCTGAGCTCCCATAATGCTTTGCTGTCCTCCCATCACGCCGTTCTGCTGCTGACCACTCAGGGCCATCATGGAGTGTGATGTCACCATGCCTCCTCCCATCGCTCCCCCCTGTGTGGCCAGGGAATGGTACGATCCATAGTAGCCCAGCTGGGCAGGATTCATGTACAGGCCAGCTGGAGACACAAAGTTAAGCCACTCATTAGAGTAAAAGTTGATAGGCTGGGCATGTTCCGTGAACTATCATTAGACTTGATTCAAAATGACAGTTAGTAAAAGACAGTTAGGAAAAACGATAGTGGCCACTTTTTTTTTTACTCAAGTACAGGCCAGCTGGAGGTACAAACATATACAGACAAGAAACACAGCTAAGCCACTGATTTAAAATAACACAACCTAGGTTCATTTACAGCAGCTGTAATAGGTGTAGATGAAAAGGTCCAGAGATGCTCTAATTGTTGATAACACACAGATCCTTTGACTTTGTAGAAAATCACCAAGGACATCAACGATGATCGACACATGAACAACTACACAGTGACCTCTTCTCTTACCGCGTGCAGCCAGGTTCTGGTGCGACGTGGGTGGGGTGGCGTAGAGGGAGAGGATGGAGTCCTTGGACATCTTTCTCCTAGAACCCTCCTGTCTGGGTGCTGAGTCCAGGAACAGGCTGAGGTTCTTGGGTACCGACGAGGCCTCACAACCCCTGGGCATGGAGCTACCCACCGGCTGGAGAGAGGAGAGATTATTACACAGGGTAAGTGTGTGTGTGCATGTGTGTGTGTGCATGTGTGTGTGTGTGTTTGTGTGTGTCTGTCTGTGTATAACTCTCTCTGAATCTCACTGTGGTCTTGGTGTAGGTGGTGGAGGAAGAGGCAGGCAGAGAGTTGAATAGATCCCGGCCAGAGTGCACCGTAGTTGGGTTAGCCACCGCAGGACTCCCCCTCTCTCCAGGGCTGGATCTACCATTAGATACAGCAGCATTGGGAGCAAGATCATCTGAAAGATAGAGAGGAGAGAGCGAATCAAAACAGGAACATTTTACATTTGGCTAGAAATTCAAAAGGAAATTATCTAAACTGAGAAAAATGTCCTCCTGTGTGCTACCTATATCACCCCACTAGAATCCTCATCCTTTAATGAAGACAGCTTCTCCATCCTGGAGGGAGAAATCAATCATTTCCAGACCCAGGGACATGTACTAGTCTGTGGCGACCTAAATGCCAGAACTGGACAAGAACCTGACACCCTCAGCACACAGGGTGACAAACACCTACCTGGAGGTGACAGCATTCCCTCCCCCATATGCCCCCCTAGGCACAACTACGACAACATAACCAACAAAAACAGGTCACAACTCCTTCAGCTCTGTGGCATGCTGGGTCTGTACATAGTCAATGGTAGGCTTCGAGGGGACTCCTATGGTAGGTACACCTATAGCCCATCTCTTGGCAGTAGTACTGTAGACTACTTTATCACAGACCTCAACCCAGAGTCTCTCAGAGCGTTCACAGTCAGCCCACTGACAACCCTATCAGACCACAGCAAAATCACAGTCTACTTGAACAGAGCAATACTCAATCATGAGGCATCAAAGCCAAAAAAACGTAATAATATTAAGAAATGCTATAGATGGAAGGAAAGTAGTGTCGAAACCTACCAAAAAACAATTAGGCAACAACAAATCCAATCCCTTTTAGACAACTTCCTGGACAAAACGTTCCACTGTAATAGTGAAGGTGTAAACTTGGCAGTAGAAAACCTAAACAGTATATTTGACCTCTCAGCTTCCCTATCAAATCAAAAAATCTCTAACAGATACCCAAAGAAAGTAACAACAGTGACAAATGGTTTGATGAATAATGCAAAAACCTAAGAAAGAAATTGAGAAACCTATCCAACCAAAAACATAGAGACCCAGAAAACCTGAGCCTACGCCTTCACTATGGTGAATCACTAAAACAATACAGAAATACACTACGGAAGAAGAAGGAACAGCACGTCATAAATCAGCTCAATGTAATTGAAGAATCCATAGACTCTAACCACTTCTGGGAAAATTGGAAAACCCTAAACAAACAACAACACGAAGAGTTATCTATCCAAAACGGAGATGTATGGGTAAACCACTTCTCCAATCTTTTTGGCCCTATAACAAAGAACAAACAGCCAAAAAATATACATGATCAAATACAAATCTTAGAATCAGCTATTAAAGACTACCAGAACCCACTGGATTCTCCAATTACATTGAATGAACTACAGGACAAAATACAAACACTCCAACCCAAAAAGGCCTGTGGTGTTTATGGTATCCTAAATGAAATGATAAAATATACAGACCACAAATTCCAGTTGGCTATTCTTAAACTCTTTAACATCATTATTAGCTCTGGGATCTTCCCCAATATTTGGAACCAAGGACTGATCACCCCAATCCACAAAAAAGGAGACAAATTTGACCCCAATAACTACCGTGGGATATGTGTCAACAGCAACCTTGGGAAAATCCTCTGCATTATCATTAACAGCAGACTAGTTCATTTCCTCAGTGAAAACAATGTACTGAGCAAATGTCAAATTGGCTTTTTACCAAATTACCCTACGACCGACCACGTATTCACCCTGCACACCCTAATTGACAAACAAACAAACCAAAACAAAGGCAAAGAATTCTCATGCTTTGTTGATTTCAAAAAAGCTTCTGACTCAATTTGGCATGAGGGTCTGCTATAGAAATTGATGGAAAGTGGGGTTGGGGGAAAAACATACGACATTATAAAATCCATGTACACAAACAACAAGTGTGCGGTTAAATTGGCAAAAAACACACACATTTCTTTCCACAGGGCCGTGGGGTGAGACAGGGATGCAGTTTAAGCCCCACCCTCTTCAACATATATATCAACGAATTGGCAAGGGCACTAGAACAGTCTGCAGCACCCGGCCTCACCCTACTAGAATCTGAAGTCAAATGTCTTCTGTTTGCTGACGATCTGGTGCTTCTGTCCCCAACCAAGGAGGGCCTACAGCAGCACCTAGATCTTCTGCACAGATTCTGTCAGACCTGGGCCCTGACAGTAAATCTCAGTAAGACAAAACTAATGGTGTTCCAAAAAAGGTCCAGTTGCCAGGACCACAAAAACAAATTCCATCTAGACACTGTTGCCCTAGAGCACACAAAAAACTATACATACCTCGGCCTAAACATCAGCGCCACAGGTAACTTCCACAAAGCTGTGAACGATCTGAGAGACAAGGCAAGAAGGGCCTTCTATGCCATCAAAAGGAACATAAAATTCGACATACCAATTAGGATCTGGCTAAAAATACTTGAATCATTTATAGAACCCATTGCCCTTTATGGTTGTGAGGTTTGGTTCCGCTCACCAACCAAGAATTCACAAAATGGGACAAACACGAAATTGAGACTCTGCATGCAGAATTCTGCAAAAATATCCTCAGTGTACAACGAAAAACACAAAATAATGCATGCAGAGCAGAATTAAGCCGATACTCGCTAATTATCAAAATCCAGAAAAGAGCCATTAAATTCTATAACCACTTAAAAGGAAGTGATTCCCAAACATTTCATAACAAAGGCATCACCTACAGAGACATGAACTTGGAGAAGAGTCCCCTAAGTAAGCTGGTCCTAGGGCTCTGTTCACAAACACAAACAGACCCCACACAGCCCCAGGACAGCAACACAATTAGACCCAACCAAATCATGAGAAAACAAAAAGAGAATTACTTGACACATTGGAAAGAACAAACAAAAAAACAGAGCAAACTAGAATGCTATTTGGCCCTAAACAGAGAGTACAGAGTGGCAGAATACCTGACCACTGTGACTGACCCAAACTTAAGGAAAGCTTTGACTATGTACAGACTCAGTGAGCATAGCCTTGCTATTGAGAAAGGCCGCCGTAGGCAGACCTGGCTCTCAAGAGAAGACAGGCTCTGTGCACACTGCCCACAAAATGAGGTGGAAACTGAGCTGCACTTCCTAACCTCCTGCCAAATGTATGACCATTTTAGAGACACATATTTCCCTCAGATTACAGCGATCCACAAAGAATTTGAAAACAAACCCAATTTTGATAAACTCCCTTATCTACTGGGTGAAAAACCACAGTGTGCCATCACAGCTGCAAGATTTGTGACCTGTTGCCACAAGAAAAGGGCAACCAGTGAAGAACAAACACCATTGTAAATACAACCCATATTTATGTTTATTTATTTTCCCATTTGTACTTTAACTATTTGCACATCGTTACAACACTGTATATATACATAATATGACATTTGAAATGTCTTTATTCTTTTGGAACTTCTGAGTGTAATGTTTACTGTTAATATTTATTGTTTATTTCACTTTTGTTTACTATCTACTTCACTTGCTTTGGCAATGTTAACATACGTTTCCCATGCCAATAAAGCCCTTAGAATTGAATTGAATTGAATTGAATTGAGAGAGAGATAGAAAGAGAGACAGACAGACAGATGGAGAGAGAGAGAGAGAGAGAGAGAGAGAGAGAGAGAGAGAGAGAGAGAGAGAGAGATGATGGGTTATAGAGGGAGTAGAGGTATGTTGTAGAGTAGAGGTATGTTGTAGAGTAGAGGTATGTTGTAGAGTAGAGGTATGTTGTAGAGTAGAGGTATGTTGTAGAGTAGAGGTATGTTGTAGAGTAGAGGTATGTTGTAGAGTAGAGGTATGTTGTAGAGTAGAGGTATGTTGTAGAGTAGAGGGATGTTGTAGGTAGAGGTATGTTGTAGAGTAGAGGTATGTGTAGAGTAGCAGGTATATGTTGTAGAGTGAGGTATGTGTGAGTTTAGAGGTATGTTGTAGAGTAGAGGTATGTTTGTAGAGTAGAGGTATGTGGTAGAGTAGAGGGATGTTGCTAGAGTTAGAGTATGTTTGTAGAGTAGAAGGTATGTGTAGAGTAGAGGGCTGTTTAGTAGAGTAGAGGTGTTGTAGGTAGAGGTCATGTTGTCGAGTAGAGGTATGTTGTAGCGTAGAGGTCATGTTGTAGGTCGAGGTTGTTGTGAGTAGCGGTCTGTTTGTGAGTAAGTAGGTGGTATGTTGTAGAGGTAAAGGTACGTAGTGTTTTTGGACCAGCGTCAGAGAAGACTATAGCCTGCTTACATTTACATTTTAGTCATTTAGCAGACGCTCTTATCCAGAGCCACTTACAGTTAGTGAGTGACTACATTTTTATTTTTTATACTGGAAACGAACCCCACCCTGGCGTTGCAAATGCCATGCTCTACCAACTGAGCTACATTCCTGCCGGCCATTCCTCCCCCTCCCCCCTGGACGAATTGTGCGCCGCCCCGTGGGTCTCCAGGTCGCGGCCGGCTACGACAGAGCCTGGATTCAAAACCAGGATCTCTAGTGGCACAGCTAGCACTGCGATGCAGTGCCTTAGACCACTGCGCCACTCAGGCTGTTTGTGCTCTTTCCAACATGTTTAGCTTGACAATTAATAATGGAGTTGGCAAGAGCACAAACATATTTGGGACCAGGCTAATGTTGACCATTTCTGTTGAGAGCCATTTGTATTTGAGTATGTGTAGAGAGGTGTACTGATAGCATACCAAGTCCTAGGAGGTCTGAGACAGACGGAGACTGGGTCTGTGTCTTTGGGCTGTTTTCTCTCTTCTGAAAGAGTCAACAACAAAAACAGCATGGCATGAATAACCGAAGACAACAGGTTACGTACCAAACCAAGAAGATATCTGGGAGATACTAAAACTCACCAACTTCATCTTCTCAAACACTACTGGCTCCATGGGGATGTTTTCACAGCTCTTCTCTTTCTAAAGGGAGAGAGACAGAGAGAGAGAGAGAGAGAGAGAGAGAGAGAGAGCCAGAGAGCGAGAGAGAGAGAGAGTCATCACTGCCGGACAAACAATTGAAGAATCCCAGCCGCACACAAGCCTAAGACCACCATGCGCAATGCCAAGGGTCAGCTGGAGACATCACTGCAGTTTATTGTATTTGCATCTGAATCAATTGCAATTAAAGGCCTTAACCTCTTCATCACGAGGTTCCCCATATCCAGGGTACTCCTCCCACAATCTCAAACAATGACGTAGTACGGTTTTTAAACATGTGTGAATACCTGAATGTTATACACTACTGGAATGAGAAGCATGTCAACTGTGAATCTAGCTAAACTGTTGTTGCCCAAATGAAATAATATTCAGACTCCAAGCAAATATATAAGCATATAGCAAAACCAGTACTGTATTTTGAAACCGTGCATGCCCGTATATTCTTAGACAGATAACGTATTTTTCTCAACCAATCTACAGAAACGATAAACCCTTCGAAAGCTGCTGCCTTCACAGATTCCAACAGTGATAGCCGTGTTCCTCAATGACCAACACTCACTAAACTATTAATCAAAGAACGTCAATAACAAACTTTCACAACAACAAACTGCGTCTTACCTTTGTTGTTTTTTGTTACCAAAAGTAGTGTCTGATCGAATAAAACCACTTGAAAAGATACTCTAGTGTCTCTCTCTCATTCCGAGTCGATTTCAATGAGTTTACATCGTTTTTAACCAAGAATGTGTTTGAAGATGAAGTCAGTAGTTTGGTTTCAATCACAACAGGCACTGTTTTGTCGCCATTTTCTGGATATATGATGCAATCCGAGTGGCTTTGAAATTGTGCTAATTTAATTCTACTGATCCAGAGCTTTCGATAGAGGGGTCACATCAAAATCGACCAACCGGTTGTTGAAATATCCAAGTGCGCACCTCATTGTATCATATTAGTTGACTTGCTGCATTACGCACGGTTACGCAGAGCGCAAAACGGCACATGAATTTCAGAGGTAAAACGCAAAGTTTATAAAAATATGTCAGGCTCTAGTAACAAATATACAGTTACAAAGGCGTTAGCAATTGTAACAGATGAAAGTTGATCCCCATTGACTCTGAATCGGATGATGAGGACCTGCTTAGACCGGACGAACCAGACCCCAACGACGAGAACGACGGTTATCGTGTCTAGGGCCCTACTCAAGCATCGGAAGAGTATGTAATCCCATTGTTATGTATTACTTCTAATACTACTATTGCTAATTTATTGTATGAGAACAAAAACATTAAATTTTCTAAAATATCTATTTGAGTAACTGAAGCTCAACGTAAGTTAGCGCTAGCTAGCTTAGCCTAGCGGCCCACACGCAAGTTTACTTACAATAGAACGCTATGTGTATTATTTATTGTCACTGAATTATCACTTAAGTCAACCTTCTCATAGGTCTAACTATTTATTTTATATTTCTGACTGTTTTGAGTCAGATTTGTCAATGAATGGATACAAGTGTGTTTTAGTCATGATTTTCTTTTCTCTTTTGTCTTGTTTGCACAGTGAAGATGATTATAGGGGTGATGAGCCACAGCCAGAGCATCTGCTTCCTCAGCCACAGCTTCCCCTTTCTCAGGCAGAGCCTCCTCTTCCTCAGGCAGAGCCTCCTCTTCCTCAGCCTGGCCGCTTGTCTAGACAACGCACTTTTGCTCCCCTCCCTCAGCCACGGTCTTCATCGGACACTGAGTCCCCTGTAAAGAGCCCTCAACCCAAAAGAAAAGGGAAAGCTTTTTCAAAATCCCGCGCATCCAAGTCACATGGGGAGGTAGGGGCCGCCCCCGAGTCTGGGGAAAAGAGGGAAAAGGAAACTTTTCATAAAAAGGGAAAAATATGAACACCAACCCAATCCGGTTTATGCACCAAGTCCCGGCCCCCAAATCACACCACTCTCATTTTCTCCCCCTTTTCCTCTTTTAACGTTTCGAAAAAAATTCAGGAAAAGCTACTCCGAAAGGTGACTTTTCTAAAAATTTTGAACCACAACCCCACCTAGAACCACCACATTGCTGCCCGAAACATGGTACGGGGGCCCGCAAAAAAGGAAACGTAGGAGACGTCGGAGTTTGGGGTCCCCCAAAATGAAAAAACCGTGTACTGCAGGAAGTGCCAATTCCCTTTGTTCTTACTCAACGTAACAGTTTCAAGGGTTGGCACGCACAAGTTTTTGGGTGAAAAAAGTCTTCATTTTTTGTGAAAAACCCACCCAGAACCATATCATTTTTTATAGTTTTTTTGGGGTTTGGACTTTTTTTTTTTTTAAATTTTTTTGTTTAAGTTTCAAAAAATCTGCTCGTTTTTGGGGTCCTTTTCCCCTTTAGGTTATTTCATGGGAAAAACGATAGAGGTCTGGGGGAAATGGGAAAAAACATCATAAACAGTTGTATTTTGATGAATGAACAATAGTGATATTTAGTGAAATTAAAAAGCCCTTTTTTTGTCTGGGACCTGATAAATCAAAAGGACAGATGGGGCCCAAAACTACCCGATGTCCCCCTTGGGAATCCCCAAAATACTTCAAATAAAACCCCCGACACTTTTGGTTTTTTTTTTATCTACTGGCAAAACAAACTTTACATAAGACCATCAAGATTGGGGTGATTAGGTCCCAATGTTTGGGGCTCAGCTATTTGGGCTATGGTCCCATAGTGTTTAGGGGGGCAGCTGATATTGGGCTTGGGCCCATATTTTTGGGGCTGCAGCTGATTGGGCATGGGGCCCCTAGTGTTTAGGGGGGCAGCTGATATGGGCTGTGGCCCATGTGTTTTTAGGGGCTGCGCTGATATAGGGCGTGGTCCCCTAGTTTTGGGGCTTTCCTGATATTGGGCTGTAACTGGGGGAAAAAAAATATTTACACCACCAATTTTGCAAGTTTTTCCCACTTAAAAAAAGAAGAGGCCGTAATTTTATCATAGGGACACTCAACTAGCAGCAAATTGAGAAAGAAAAAACCCGAAAAAACACATTGTAGGTTTTTTTAGAATTTATTTTCAAATTTGGTGGAAAAAAGTATTTGGTCACCTCAAACAAGCAGATTTTTGGCTCTCACGACCTTAATTTTTTCTTTTTAAAAGGGGCCCCCTGCCCCACTCGTTACCTTATTAAGGCACCCGTTTGAACTTGTTATCTATAAAAAAAAACCTGTCCCACCTCAAACCTTTCCCTCCAAACTCCACTTGGGGCCCAAACCAAAGACTGTCAAAGGACCCAAAACAAATTGTAGACCTGCCCATGTGGGAAACGAATCTGCAAAAGGTAAGCTCTTGGTTTGAAGAAACAAAATGTGGGAGCAATTATTTGGAAATAAACAACAAACCCCCTGTAATCTCCCTCATCTGGGGGTCCACGCAAGATCCACCCCGTGGGGGCAAAATGATCACAAAAAACGGTGACAAAAAAACCCAGAAAAAAACGGGGGACCAGTAAAAGACCTGCAAGGGGCGGGACCAAAAACAAGCCCACCACAGTACACACTACGCCGCCAGGGACTAATCCGCAGGCTAACTGTCCCCCCGCTAAACCAACATGTCCCGGCCCCTCGAATTTTCTAAGTGCATCCAAAAGGGTTGGGAGGGGTCATTGGTAGATGAAACCAAAATATAAATTTTTGGTAAAAAATGCTGATTTGCCCCTCCAAC